GGCAAAGACTAAAAAAATCTCTGATGACACACAGAAGTTTGCATGCATCTGGATAATCGGGCACAGTCATATACTGTTGGCAAGAGTCCAGTGTCCCATCTTTGGAGGTTAAAGTAGGAATAACATTCTAAATTTAAAGTGAGTTCTTATACTTTGTCTGAAAGGACGCTCTTAGTAATTTCTTCTCGAGATCTACTTGCATATCCCTCTCTGGTTGGCCACGGTACCCTTTACTCTAGTCTGGTCCCCACAGCAGCGATAATAACCACTTTCTATTTGTTGAGTAAGGAATGTGCACAAAGGGTGATCTCTGCCATGTTTGTTTTAGCAAAACATTAGAAACACCCCTAACCTGTCCATTAAGTGGCGGTTGAATAAGTCATCCTGCATCCATCTATCCAGTGGAATTCTCTGCTGCTCTCTATTTAACAGCTGGGAAGATCTCCAAGTGCTGTTATACAATGTGTTGCCAAGTTACATGGCTGGCTGACAAAAGCAGTGTGAATAATGATTTATAGAATAGACTTTGCATGTGTGTAAAAATGATAATATACAAAATAAGCATACAAAATGTCTGGCTACCAAAAACTTTCTGGAAGGAGGTGGGAGTTTGGAATAGAAAAGAAATTTAGAATATATAAATATATATATTTATATTCTATATTTATATTTTATTTTATTATATATATGCAGAGAAAATGAGTTAATTTTTAATTATGCAGAGGAAAAAGACAAACACACATACAGATATGGAAATATACTAGATATCCTAAAGGAAAACAAAAACTGCAGTAGAGGATTTTTGAAACAATTTGGATAAACCATAACACACACAATGTTCCTGAATGGGAAAACATGGTATGTTAACATGTCAATTCTACCCCAAGACAATCTATGATTTTAATGTGATTCCAATTCAACTCATAAATATATTCCTTTTGAGTCTTGACCAAAAAAAATTTAAACTCATCTGGAAGACTAAACTTTTAAGAATAGGTAAGAATATTTTTTAAGAAGCAGGTTAAAGTCTGGAAGGCCAGTGGGGGTAGGGCTTGCCCTACAAGTTCTTGTGTGTGTGTGTGTGTGTGTGTGTGTGTGTGTGTGTGTGTGTAATTAAAGTAATATTGTTTGGAATATAAATAAATGGACATAGGAGGAGATGAGAATGAAAAATTCAATCATACGCAAATAGACACTAGTATCTACGTGTATGTGTACATATATATGATAATGCTGGTAGAATAGATATTGGCTGTTTTTTGACCACCTACCATACATTTCTTGCCTCCTCCTACTCCCTACCCTTCCTAATAGCACCTAAATTCATTTTTGGGAATTACCTCTTAAATTGCCTTGGATTCAGTTTAGTGGAACAGTTTCACAGATTTCTGTCTTGACAGAAATGCCTATCAAATGCTTTCTCTCTCTGGGTTCTGACTCTAGAGTAAATGGGACAGAGATTATAAAGCACTGGAATTGTTCACTTGTGCAGAACAAAACCCCGGTGAGTTCAGGGTGTCTGTAGCCGGTCTGGGACAGGCTTCTGCATCCACAGAAGCTTCCCTGGAACCAGCCAGTTCCCAAGCCTAATCTTTAATTCTCTTGGTTATAGGCTCTATCGTCTTTGCAATAAGTAGCCTATGGCTTTGTCAGTTTTTGTAGCTTGCCACCAAAGGACTCTTAGAATTTAGGTGGCATTTCAACTAATCAGGAAATTATTAGATTACTCAGGGAATCATTTTAGGAAAGTTAGCTACTCATTTGGGGAAAATAGCTAAATTCATTAAAAAAATTCCAGAATATAAAAGAGTTAACTATATTTAAAAAGGGGGGAGGTGGTACATGATATTGGGAAGAATGTCTTTTTATTGGTTCCAAGATAAGATCACAAAGGAAAACATTCATAGATTTAAAAACACTAAACATAAAAGGCAACTAACAATCCAGGAAATACATTTGACCAATACAAGCTGTAGGACTCAAAATGTAAGACTCTCTTAAAAATCAATAAGAGGGGCGCCTGGGTGGCGCAGTCGGTTAAGCGTCCGACTTCAGCCAGGTCACGATCTCACGGTCCGTGAGTTCGAGCCCCGCGTCGGGCTCTGGGCTGATGGCTCAGAGCCTGGAGCCTGTTTCCGATTCTGTGTCTCCCTCTCTCTCTGCCCCTCCCCCGTTCATGCTCTGTCTCTCTCTGTCCCAAAAGTAAATAAACGTTGAAAAAAAAAAAAATCAATAAGATAGTTAAATCTAAAAATGGGTAAAGGCCCCAGTCAATTCATAGAGGAAATATAAATTGTATACATATAAAATTACATATATGTACATGCACACATATATATATGTATGTACGGTTATAAAATAAATGAATTATACAATTACATATATAAAGAGTTCTTACAAATCACTAATATAAATACTAATACCCATTTTAGTATTTTAGAATACCCATTCTAAAAATGGGTAAAGGTTACAGTCGACTCACTGAACAAGAAATATAAATGGTGTGTATACACACATATATAATTGCATATATGCATGTACATACATAAACTTACATATATACAATTATAAATAAAGGTCAATCTTATTAAAGGAATTCAAATTAAAGCAATGATGTCATTTCAAATTAGCATAAATTTTAAAAAGTAACAATTTTCAGGGCTGGGAAGGGTGTGGGAAGAAAAGCATTCTCATAAATTGGGATTATAAATTGGTAAACTCTTTTAGAAGGCAGTAGGTCAATATGTAACAAAAGCTTTAAAGATAATGGCAACCTTCATACATGAGAAAAGCAGAGAGAGACTGGTTAAATAAATAATGCTATATTCATTCATACTGAGCAGCCACTACAAGTAAAGTTGTAGGAAAAATTTAAAGCATGAAATAATGTTCACAATCAATAAAAAACCAAATCACGAAGCTCCATGAAGAGTACAGCACATTTAAATGTACATTAAATACACACACATATGTATACAAGTACATATGCACAATACATACACATACACACATATGAACAGAAAAGACTGGAAAGACTGGATTGTAGGGTGACAAGTGTATTTTGTTTTTCTAAGTTTTCTATAGTTATTATTAATTTTCTATAGTAATTATACATTATAATTATATATTTTATATATAGTAATTATATATTATAATTATACATTTTTAATAAGAAGTATACTTTTTATGTGTTTTATACATTCTATTTTATTAAATATCTCATGAAAAGCTCAAGGCAGGTAATACCCACACATAACAGGAAAGAGAAGTAAAGCTGATACAGGGAAAGTGATTTGTCCTAAGTCATATAAGTAGTCAGTTATGAAGCCATGACTTTGATCCTGGTTTGCTGATTCCAAATCCACTACTCTCTCCACTATACACACTGCATTTCAGTAAGCAGGTACACTGATCTCATTCAGGAATTACCTGCCATGTATGAGCCAGGGCAGAGCGATGCTTAGGATTAAGCTCTAAAGTCAGATAAATATTGATGATTCCACAGTGCTCTATAACCAAGATGTATGTGAAAGTGCATGAGTGTACATGATGTCCATTAAATTTATTCAGGGGGGTACTGAAGACAGAAAGGAATAAAGGAAACCAAATCTACTGTTCTATCCTTTCATGCTGCTTGTGATGTAGGAAAATGGGGTCTGGGATTAAGACCCACAGGAGTCAGCCTTTTGAGATGGGACACTAGGTGTGGGCCTTCTGCTTGATATAGACTTCCATGCATGTCTCATCACCCCAAACACTGTCTCCCAAACACAAGGCCTTGCATTGAAAAATGGGGATCAGAGGAAAAATGGGCAGTCTCTTGTCAGTTGCCAGATGTTATCATATTCACAGCACCCTGTATTTAGGAATAAAGAGGCTGACCCAGTTATGGATGCAAGCTGACAAGAGACCCTTTCTGATGATGGAGGCACTCCAGGTTTTATCATTTCTTAGTCACAAGCAATACTGCATCATACCAAGGGATACTCTGTACATCATATTGGGGTGAAATCTGATCAAGGTGGTCTAGGCCATACCGAACAGAAAATAGCAAGATGAAGCTCTCACAGTTAGTTTTGGGAACTCAGTAGGTGCCTCTGTATCGAAACTGTGCCAACTTACACTAGTCCTTCTAGCTTTGCTGCTAAGAACTGTAGAGAGCAGCACTTCGCAACAGCTGTTCCTTTGAACACAAACAGCATGGCCACAGGAAAAGTAAGCACGGCCTTGCTACAGAAAAGCTTTAGGTAATTCAGTATAGCTCCTGACCTCCCAGAAATAATCACCATGGGCCCAGTACGTACACAGGCAGCTGTGGAGGAGAATGGCTCTAAAAGGTAGCCCTGTGTTGTCTCCAAGGTAAATAAACAAATACCAATGGTTCGCATCCAGCAGCCATGGTCACATTGGGAGTCAAACTATACCCTTACTGAATGTGACTGGATACACTTCGATTTCTGCCCCACCCAGAAGCACATATTACCGTACCAGGAGCTAACTCGTGATACGGAATGAAGGTTTTAGCTAACAAACCATCTACTGATCCCCTACAATGTACACAGCACACTGTCTACAAGTTTCCTAGATCTATTCCTAAAAGATAATCCACTTTCTTAATTGAAAAAACTGTGAACTAGCACCCATTATCAAGCTTACATGTATCTTAGCACTTAAGATTGACTTGTAAAATTGATTTTTTAAAAATTCAGTGGAGATAAAAATCAATGCAACAAATGCCAAAATATAATCATTACTAAAGACACTTGTTCTAAAACAGCATTACACTGTGATCCTTAAAAATATCCTATTCGTAACTGATTTACAAGGAGGACAGCTTTTAATTTAAGGTAGTTTTTAGAAATGAGTCAACTTAAATTCCTTACACAATTATAAAATATCACAATAAATCCAAGGATATAACAAAATTTATCTTTAAAATTACTTTCAGGTAAAATCAAAGCCTATGACCTTTATCAAAAGGTTTGCATTTCATTACTCACCAACTGACAGCCTTCTAGGGAGTTGACTAGCTGAGCATTCTGACAGGAGAGAATTGAACCAGCCAAATTCAGCATTACGCACACTGCAGAGAGCAGCATGAAAAAGGTTATCTGGAAACAAACCAAACAAAAAATTGATTATTCACTTGGAGAAGTTTGAAGGAAAAGTGATTTGGCTTTAAAAAAGCTTTCAGTTGATCAAAAAACTGTATGAATAACAGTTATATTTTTTAAAGGGCAGTATTATTTTTTAATTTGAATTACATTGTAAAATATCTTAGAGGCTAAACTTGAAAATACTATAAAACTACAAAATAGTTTTATACAGTCTTGAAAATAACAAGTTACAAATTACTAAAGAAAACCAATGGAAGGAGTTTGTTTATTAGAAGGCCTTTAAATTTATTTCTTTTAACTTCTTTGTGGAAAACTTCCCACTGATGCAAAACCAGAGAAGACAGTTTAATCAAGTCCCACATACCTATCACCCAGACTCAACAACTAACCAAATGGTCTGTTGCATTTCATTTATACTCTCTCCACTCTAGATTACTTTGCAGTAAATATCAGACACTGTATGATTTCATCCTTAAATATGGCAGCGAATATTTCTAAAATAAGATTGGTTTTGAAAACATAACCAAAATAATGTCATCACCTCTAGAAAAATTAATCATTCATTAATATCAAATGTTCACAGTTCAAGTTTCCTTAATTATCTTATTTTGAATCAGTTTACACAGGATACAAGGAATTCCATATAGTGAAACTAATTGTTCTAAATCTTAAGATATTTTTTTTAATTTATGGGTTTTCCCCTCCATTGTATTTTTTTTCTTCCAAGAAAGTTATTGAAGAGACCAGTTTATTTGTCCCATAGAGTTTTCTACAGCCTAACTTTGCTGATTGTCTCCTCCTATTAGTTAAAATTTCCATATCCTCTGGATATCTTGTAATTTGGTGGTTACACACAGAGATTTGATAACATTCAGACTAATAGAAGGCAAATAATGTGTCTCTCTATGATGTTGGCAGCCATTCTTAATGATTGCTTAGATCATTAAATTGTTAGTGTTTCCAAAACGCTATCTATAATGCCATCATTTCTTCTTTCTTTATTCCCAGAGATCAGTATATAGAATACTTTTCCTCATCAATTGTTTTGTCACTCTAGAGTACAGTTCACATAGGAAAACCAGGATGCATGTTCAATTCTTTATTTTCCAGATTTCAAAATAATTAGTTGATATGGTGCTATATTTACTAAATAAACTTGGGCCTATAATGGTTAGTTAATATTCTTGCTGCACCTATGTAAATAATCAGGCTAACTCTAATGAAACAAAACTTTAAACAAAAATTTTCTTGTAATCAAGAATAATCTTTAATATTAATATGATCAAGAGGGGAGAGAGTGTCACGAAAACTTGTTAAAGACTTTGAAATGGGAAAAAAAATACTGGATATCCCGTCTAGTACACTCTTTTGAGTTATTTGTGCCTTTCATTGTCTTTAAGCTATTTTACAACTCTAAATTACAGAATAAGACTAGTAATGTAAATTATTTTTGATAATATAAATATAAATGAATTTCGTCTGGTAGAATGCAATGATCGCCATCCCATGGGTGCTGACCACTTTCACATCTATTTGTAAATTTATTTCAGCATTGCTGATGGCCTATGTGTGCACATGGCTTGAATTCTCCTTGGAACTGGTTGTTAGTTTTACTGGTTCCCTCATTAAATAACGAGTCAAATATAATCTTTGATATATGTTTATTAAAAAAAATTAGTTCGGTCCTTGGCATCCTCCAAAGGTACTGTTTGTTTAGGGGTTGTGTGTGTTTGATTTGTTATGAGCCCAAAACAAACAAATTTGATACATTTCATTCACTGGAGTCATTAACAAGATAGAGTCAATTCAAGTTGACACAATTCTAGTAGACTTTGAAAGTTTTCCTGCTTTCAAGAAAGCTATGACAAGATGTTCCAGAATCATCATACATATCCCCTGCCCCAGATCTGGAATCAGCAATTTCTACAGTAGGTCTTGGTTCCTTTCATTGAGAATGGTATTTAGATACCACACTCTTCATGCCAGAAGTTCATGCCAGAAGTGTCCTTGCCACTTGGTCATAGTTTTAAACATTTTCAGTTGTTAGATACAATATATTATAAGATCATACTAATGCCTCTGATTCAAATTCAAAACTACGGGGTTTTTTCTTAATTCTATCAACCTGATATCTCTATTTCCTTTCAGCCATGACAAAAACCTTATTTCTCATTACAATTATCCATCTGATTTAATCTCGTGATATCCACACAACAGTCTAAAAATAACAATGCTAATACTAGCACCAAAAACATGATTATTGAAAACACTTTAAGATTTTTCTTTCTATCCTTAGAGTAGGTTGTACCAAGAAAAAATAGTCAAATTATGGTGTGATAGGGTCACCATGGTTCTTTTATGTGTGGTTATGCTACTGACTGGGAACCCAGATTCATTGGTTTCATTTTTTATTGTTAGGGATTTTTTTTAAGTTTAGCTTTGTTTGGAATTGTATAAAAGGATTCCGAAGTCATATCCATAAAAGAAGTCTCAAAAAAGTCTAGTTTTTATTCTATCATCTCCATTATGTTCCCCCTCCTTTCTTCTATAGGTAACCATTTATTTTTAAATTTAATCCTTCCATTATTTGGTTTTTAGTAAAGGTAAATAAATAATAGCATACTATAAATATTTTCTCTATCTACTTTTTTTTTGACCCAGTACAGTGAAGAACACTTAATAGGCATACATAGAAATACTTATTCCTTCTTATAGTTGTTCAGTACTTCATTGCTCAGATATACCACAGTTTATTCAACCAGGTTCCTACTGATGGACATTTGAGTTGTTTTGGTCTTTTATTTTTTACTATGGTGTTGCAATAAACAGCCATATTCATACGTCTTTTAAATGATTGCAGTATGACTTTGGGATATATTCTTAGAAGTAGGATTGTTGCATCAAAAGATAAATATTTAATTTTGCTAGACACTGCCAAATTCTCCAACACAGAAGTGGTACCATTTTTCATCCCTACCAGCAATATATAAAAGTGAAAAAGTCTTAATATTTTATTAGTACCTAAAAAGTTTTGGCTAAATTAAATATAGAAAAAAATCATTATTGCCATTCATTACCCATAAATGTAGTGTATTTCCACCAAATGTAGCAAAATTTATTTTTCCTTAAAAAAATTTTTTTAATGTTTATTTATTTTTGATAGAACACAAGGTGGGAGGAGGAGACGAAAGAGGAAGACACAGAATCTGAAGCAGGCTCCAGGCTCTGACCTGTCAGCACAGAGCCCGACACGGGGCTTGAACTCACAAGTCATGAGATCATGACCTGAGCTGAAGTCGGTCGCCGAACCGACTGAGCCATCCAGGCACCCCTATTTTTCCTTTAAAATACACATACAGGATAGAAAAAAAAGAGGATGTTTTGTTAATTTAGGAAATATTTCAAGTTCATGTTAATAATATTTCTGCAATGATTCTAGTAGCTATGGATTCTTACAGCATCCCCTGGGAAGGTTTAACTTCACAGAATAGGTCAGCATTAATTTTCTATATTAGATGTCACAACAGTACCATAATATCATTCAAATCATTTGTAGATAAACTGGCCTGAAAAGTTTCAAAATTGAGCTCAAAAATTATTATTGAAAACATTGGGACAGCAATCTACACAGAAGCCAAGAAAAGAGGCTATTTTGAGACACAGGAAGTGCTCAACTATATAGATGATGCTAGGAAGTAAAAAAAAAAAAAACAAAAAAAAAACAGATTTTTTTTCATGTTTACTCTTTTAAAAAATGGCAGTAAAACACATACCAAAAAAATTTACCATGCTTTATTTATTTTATTGTGATTAAGTGTACGTAACATGAAATGTACCATTGTAATGATTTTTTGGCATACAGTTCAGTGGCATTAAGTTCATATCGTTGTGCAGCCATCACCACCGTCCATCTCCAGATCTTTTTCATCTTCCCAGACTGAAACTCCATACTCGTTAAACAATAACTCCTCATTCACTCTTCCTCTCAGAACATGGCAACCATTGTTTTGCATTCTATCTTTATGAATGTGACCACTCTAGGGATCTCATATAAGTGGGATCATACAGAATTTTTTCTTTTGTGTTTGCTTATTTCACTTAGCATAACGTCTTCAAGTTTCATCCACATGGTAGCACATGTCAGAATTTCCTTTTTTGCTTTTAATGTTCATTTATTTTTGAAAGAGAGAGAGCAGAGCACCTGCCCATGAGTAGGGGAGGGGCAGAGAGAGAGGGAGACAAGATCTGAAGCAGGTTTCACGCTGACAGCAGAGAGCCTGATGCAGGGCTCGAGCTCACAAATGGTGAGATCATGATGAGCTGCAATCGGTCACTCAACCAACTGAGCCACCCAGGCACCCCTCCTTCTATTTTTAAGGCTGAGCAACATTGTATTCTATGCATATACCACATTTCCTTTACCTTTTCATCTGCCATAGGACAATTGGGTTACTTCCACTTTTGGCTATTGTAAATGATGCTACTATAAATATAGGTGTACAAATATCTGTTCAAGTGACTGCTTTCAGTTCTTTTGGATATATACCCAGATGTGGAAGTGCTAGATCATATATGGTAATTATATGTTTAATTTTTTGAGAGAACACCATACTGTTTTCCAGAATGGCTACAACCATTTTACATTCCAATGCACAATGTGCAAAGGTTCCGCTTTTCCCCCACATTCTCATCAACACTTGTATTTTCTGTTTTTTTTTAATAAAAGTCATTCAAATAGATGTGAAATGGTATCTTATGTGGTTTGGTTTACATCTTCCTAATTGATTAGTGATATTGAGCATCTTTTCAGGTGCTTGTCATTTGCATATCTTCTTTGGAAGTCTTTGGAGGTATACATTCAGGTCCTTTGTCCATTGTTGCAACTGGGTTACTTGGGGTGATTTATGTGGGGTTATTGAGTTGTGAGAGTTCTTTATATATTCTGAATACTAATTTTATACATTTTAGATATTAATCCTCTATCATATATGTGA